CCACAGCAGATCGTTGAAGGAAGCCCTCGTAGAGAGCTTAAACGCCGTTTTATCACCAATTCATAATGTCAGAATATCAGGAGAGGAACAGGTTAAAGCATTAGAAGTCACAGAAGGTGAATAGAATCTTTTCTTGTTCAGAAATTTCAGTAGTTGTATCGCACGTGCTTTCATGCCCTCTCAGATTGTGAAGAGTCTATTTATAGTTTATTTCAAAATTGTCTGTTAGTGTCTTATTTACTTTCTTTTTTGTTACGTTGTATTATAATGAATTTAGTGTGGTTTATATTGACCATAACATACACTAAGGTGCTCGACTTAAAGTCTAAAATACAGAGTATGGGCAACGAAGATGACAAAAATGAAAGATACACAGTTAATATTAAGATTCCTGTAAATATCATTTGAATGATTAAATTTGAAATAATTAGAATGACCCATATGTAATGAAATTTTTTTGTTACAGAATTTGGAGTACATCTTGCAGAACTTACAGTTGACACACATGGACCTTTAGCAATAAGACAGTTATCATCTGTGTTATTACGACAGTATGTGGATGCTCACTGGTGCAAACATTCGGAAAAGTTCAGAGAGCCGGAAACATCCGAACATGTACTTTTTTAGTTTGATTTTGTTTCCTCTCTCGTTGATCACACAGGTGTTAGGGGTGAAACGATTCGCCTTCTTCACAGTTCAATACGTATCCTAAAATTTTGTCTCTGTTCGGTTATTTTCGATGCGATACATTTTGATAGAAAGAACAAATTCAAGTGTTGTTTTACATGTTTTATGCTTCCTTAAATTACTTAATCTAGTCATATAATTTATGTGCAAATTGGAAAGAAGAAATCAATTTAATTGATTTGACTGTTAAATTTATTTTACAAACTGTGAGTCCACAAAAATTGACGGTTTTTAACAAATTATACTGAGGAGCATGTTTATACCTTATGCCAAACCCCACTGAATGACGACCCCGACCGAAAAACAAACCGAACCGAAAATCGAGATATATGGTACGTTGTATCAAACCGAGAAAAAATACTGCAGTGAATCGATACCGCAGTGAACCGTTTCACTCCTAACAGGTGTTTGTTTTCATGAATACATGATGGTGTATTTTGTGTATTGTTTGTTTTTCTAGGTGTATCTGACTATGCTCATAAAAATAAGAATTAAGAAATCGATTAAATTAATTTCAGCAGGTCAGGGATTATTGATTTTTATTTTAATGAGTGTATTCAGGCACACCTAGAAAATACATAGTACACAGAATTCATCCTGAAACTAAGTGCCAATGATTGTTCATATTCATATTCTAAACAATTTATGAAAAAGGATGAGGTGACTTGCGGCCCCTCGTATACTGACAAAAAATTAAATGTCTAAATTTTACTCAAATTTTTGAATGTAACTAATCACTGATATGTGTACCTTTATAGAATACTAATTCTAACAAAAATAGAAACGTGATTTGAAAGATATAGATCTTTTATTGTGGTAGGGGTATCATGTTTACATTCAATTCCCATTGCATTTTAACCCCGCCCCACTCTTTGAAGCCCTTAAAATATACGAGCACATGTAGGTACAATTTTCTCCTTTGGCTGGTCACTGTATTTTATTCAAATCTACCTATATGTGTAAGCAGAAAATTGTACCTAACTGCGCTCACATGCTATTTTTTAAAAAATGTAAAATCTAGTTGGCCTTTCCCATTATAAACAGATCGACGGAACAAGGTTTTCTGATGTAAGAATGAATTCATATGCTAATCGAGGCACAGGCGATACTTTCTAACTGACCAATCAGCTAAATGAAATTCGTTACGAGTGAGTACCACAAAAATATTATGGTAACATGCTTGGAATTTTACTGCTTTCCGATATCTTTTATGCATTTGAGTCACAGATTAGACACGGATCTACATATGTACCATTTCCGAGACCACAGTAAAATTTTTATACAGTTACAAATAATTGATAGAATATACATGATATACATTAGTTTAAAGTTTTGTAGCGTGTTTGGTGAGCAATTCGTTAGGTCTGTACACGTATTCCCGAGTATCGGTGAATACAAGTTTCATGTGCATTTCTTGTCCTAAAAACCGTAAATGCTGAAAATTCATGCGTATTATTAAGTATAAACAGCATTGGCTGACCATTATAAAAGTTTGAAATGTAGAAAAGGACAACAGGTAAATTGACCAAAACCACGTGTCTGCGATAAAATGTTAACGTAGTAAACCAGCATGTTTAGTTGTTCTGTCATCGGATTGGACAATGACTAAGTGCGAAATAATAACAATAGCCATATAAGGTCTTCTCGGGCACGCATATCCCTCTATTGTACTAAGACCTGCCCATTCTCTTGCCATAAAAGAACATATTCGCACAAACCTGGCCGAATTTAGCTGTGATAGGGTCTAAAAAATCAAAGATAATGCAGTATTCCTTATAATTAAAATGTGTCTCAACTATTGAAACTATTCAAAAGGCGTCATATTTATTCACTCATGTTTGAAAACTACCAACATCGTTATAGATTAAATATAATTCGTCGTGGAAAAAGGGGCCCCAGATAGCAGTTATGTCACATCATCCTTTAGGAATATTGATAGGAACAAAAGCGGTTCGTAGTAAAAACAATGCTATTAAAAATGCATTCTTTATAGTTTAAAAATTTGATATTTAAAGAGTTACATTTAATTAATGAAAAAAAAAAAGAATTAGATAGTGCAGAATTCTTTGATGTATTTATTTTAGGCAAAAGCTGAAATCAGAAGGATTTTACCTGTGGGTCTGAAGGAGTCTATCAGCAAGGTGCGATCAAGTGTAGCATACGCGGTGTCGGCTATAGCCCACTGGGACTGGCCAGAGGTGTGGCCTGAATTATTCCAGATCCTGATGCAGGCTTTAACGAGTGGTGACCCTAATGCTGTGCATGGATCTATGAGGGTTTTATCAGGTAATGGAATTATGTTAATTGGGTAACCATTTCATTCAGGCAATTATTGATTTCACGTTTGAAATCTCAAATTACAAGTTCTGAAATATTTTTATGGAAATAGTTGCAAGATCTTAAGAATAGTCCTAAAAGTTATGTGCAAAAAGTTGTTTGGTCATACATTTGACATGATTGCGATGTAAGCTATTTTATTTCATATAAATCTCCGAATATTAATTTTCAGAGTTCACTCAAGATGTCACAGACACACAGATGGGACAGGTTGCACCTGTTATTCTTCCTGAAATGTACAAAATCTTCATCCAAGCTGAAGTAAGAGATATACTTACACAGCAGAATAGTAATGTATTGAAAAAAAAATTAATTTAGAACCTTGGATGCTAAGGGGAAAAATGTCCCCACCCCCCACCCCTTTCATAAAAAAAACTTGCAGCCATGGTTAATGAAATAAGCTGTTCCTAAAAATACTATCTAAATTCTTGAAAACTTTTTTTTACCATTGATTTAATTTAATAAAGAAAATAATTGGCAAAATGTACTTTAAGTCTTGCTTATTATTTTGCAAATTATCTGGTAAAAATGCATAAATACTGTTAAGAGATGAGATTTTCTCATTCAGGAGTCAGATTAAGATTGTGTGCTTGTTTTGACTGGTTTTCAAATATTTTCATATTATTTCTTTTCCTGAAATATTTTTAGGTCAGGAAAGATAATATTTTTAGTTTGAATTCAAAAACTACTTCAGCTTGCCAAAATTCAAAATTGATGCAAAAATGATTCTCTGAATTTCTTTTCTTGGAGAAAAAAAATTATTTAAAAGAGAACACAAGAATGTAAATAATATAGATGTTCTGTTTTGATGATAACCATGTGTTTGTGTATTGTGGTATATTAATGTGATATATAATTTTCTTTCCTTTCAGACCTATAGCATCAGAACCAGATCACGGGCTGTCAGCATCTTCAATGTTTGTGCAGCGATGATTGCAACCATGGCAGAGATTCAGAGGGTAGGGATGTGTTGCATTCCATTGAAAAAAAAATTTGTTAGAGGCATCAGGGGTGTGCAATTACCATCGCCCGATGCCCGGGGCTACCAATTTTAGAGGTTGGGTTATCTTAAATCTATACTGCGTTAGCCCTTGGGCTAGTAAATCTAAAACGAAAGTAAAACATATATTTACCTCGACTGAGTTGAGGTACGAGTTAACCTTTCTGTAAAATCATAATCTTTAATTCGTTTTAACTATATGCATTGTGTGTTCCTATTGCCAGTCGTCTCAGTGACAATTATAGTCGATATAAATAGGGCGAAGTACCTGACAATTACAAAGCGCAAACCATTATTTGTTTTATTTATTTCAACTTAAATGTTTTTTTTTTAAACCTTTTTGTTATACTTTTACATGACATGAATTGTTTTCGGTAGTTTATGGGCTAGTGACTGGAAACCTTCGGCTAGTAACTTTGTTACCGCCACTAGCCCGACTGGCTAGTAATTTATTTTTGTAATTGCACACCCCTGGGCATCAATCAATACCAGGGGTGTGCAATTAGAAAAATCAATAACTAGCCCACGGGCTAGTGGCAGCTATAAAGTTACTAGCCCCAAGTGAAAAGTTACTAGCCCAAATATAGGGGCAAAAATTAAAATAGAAAACTATACGTTGAAAAGAAATTAATTGTTGAAAAAGTCAGGGTACTGAGGTCATTCTTTTTAAAATTAAAGTTTAATTCTCACTATGAAATTAAATCATGTATAAATTATACTGAAAGAAGATTAAAATGAATTTAAATGAATTATCTTCCCATTTTCTGAACATTGCACTAGCTCATTTAGAATGAAATTTAATTCATTTGGTTTCGATCTTAAATCATTAAATACACTATAAATATATTTTATGGGAGTCATAAAACACTTATCTTTAAGTTGATTGAGTGATAGTAAATAATTTAACTAGATATCTGCATGTATTTACCATTAACGAAAGAATAGAGGAAATTCGGATTAGGAAAAAACGATCGTTTTTGGAAGTAAATAAGTCAGGTAGTGCAGCAAAACAGATAAGATTATGGAGATTTATTGAGAGTAGGAGCATGTTGTCAGAAAAATTTTCACTGGTTGGGAATTTGATAGCAAAAACGAGTGAAAATACAGGTTCTGCTTTTCATGTATTGCGTGTGTAGTTATAATTTTTACTAGCCTGCCGGGCTACCTCCATGCAGAAAATCACTAGTCCGGCCCCAAAAAGTGGTAGCCCCGGGCGTCGGGCGATGCTAATTGCACACCTCTGAATACTTGAAGGAATCACTAAGAGTTAAGGGTTCTTGATAATGTACTCTTAACGTACAAAGAATATTGCTTTGCTTTAACAACATATTGCACATGTTTCATATTTTACATGTATATCTATCTAGTCACACATAGAACATTGCCTTTCCAGAGGTGTTTAAATATTTATTTTTGTAAATTTGACGTCTTTAATCTACAGGGTATTGCCAAGCAGCTGTTGTTTCCCTCTGTCCCCCAGTTTACCCAGGCATTTATACAGGCTCTTCAGGTCCCTGACGGTCTGACCTCAGACAGCGGACTTAAAATGGAAATCGTCAAGGTACTAAACATTATAACAGGGCTTTCAAAAAGATTTGAACAAGGTGGTACTTTATCAAAAATAGGAGGTACCACTCGGCGAACGCCGAAGGCGTGAGCTCGCTAGGGGGGTCCGGGGGCATGCCCCCCCGGAAAAATTTTGAAATTTAGAAGCCACCGGACAGCATTTCCTGGTTTCTAGACACATAGAAGTATGCTGTTATCAGTGTTATTTTTATGCCATGTTTCCAAGTTTATTTTTGGTCAATACACTTTACATGTGAAATTTAGCACTGGATGGATGGAATTACATAGAAAAATTAGTTATTTGAGCAGAGTAACAATAAGATTTAGGTAAAACTTCTAAGTTCTATGCTATATTTGTATATATATATATTTGTTCAAAAAATTTTGCAAGGTTTGAGTTGTAAGTGGTATGTTTTAAATATAAAAAAAAAAAAAAATGAGTCACGAAAGGAAATGGAAATTCAAAATTTAAATTTAATAAAAGAGAAATGAAATTGTATTTGCATTAAATGAAATTCATTTCTGTTCTACATTAAAGTGCAGATTAAAAAATAAATTAGAAGAAGCACTATATGTTTCATAGCATGTACCAATAAATTCAGCATATTTTTCATTTACTGGTACATGTACATATAAAATAATATACATGTGTAAATTACTCAAAGATGACATAAAATTGGAGACAAAAAATTTTTAGGTATGACTCCCTCACTTTACTGGATATGGTTACAATACTGGGAAGAAAGTAAACGTCCGCAAGGTCATTCTCTTGACCACTAGGAAACTGCTGAATCAAAGAATTAAATGTATGGCAAAAGAAATAGTTTCTGTTTTATGTCCTTTTGTTTCATCAGAAAGTTGCAGATATTTAAGACTGTAAGAAATTTATATCGTCAGCTGCGGGTTTTGACACTTAAATTTGAAGAGTTGAGGCTATCAAAATGTACAGAGGTGGTCAAAGAACTACCTATTGTTCATGTCGGTTTCTCTATCGGTCAATTGTGTTGAAGACTTTCCACGGTCTAGTTCCTTGTATCTTAAAATCTTTTGTGAAACTCATTACCATGGCTTTAAATTGACACTTTTATTTCTGACACCTGGATTCCTATTTTTATTTTTGGCCGTATTTATTTAAAATATATCCATAGTCATTAGCTTTTGTCAAAATCAGTAACGAAGGAATTTGACGGATCGAAATCTACTTTCGTTTTCGACAAGATCTATAAGACGCGTTACGCAATCTCTTTTGTTTCATTTATTCAAACGCTTTAATGATCTTCTTGACTAACCAATCAAAAACGTTATTAGATAACATTACGGACTAAGAATATTACAAAGCTTGTGTAAAACATGGTAGGGCCTATCGTAATTTTACGCGATTTTTTTTTTCTCCACTGAATATTTTGGCCGGTACCATGAACGAATCCAACCGGGTAAAAGTACCGGGTAGTACCGGCAGATTTTGAAAGGCCTGTTATAAAGATTTGATAACTTTATTCCAATACTTCACAATCATTTCTAGAATATTGCATCTACGAAGAAGGTAAAAGAGTAGATCTAAAATATATATTTGATGAATGCGTTGAAATCACTCTTTCCACTTAGATTCATTTTGGAGAAAATGTACAATTAAAATTCAGTATCTCAAATTCTGATATCCATGCCAAAGTAAGGGGTGTTTTATTTTTAGGCTATAACCACCTTGGTTAACCTACAATATGTATTGATAAGTGCATGAAATTACTCTTTTCAGTTAAAATTATAATGGAGAAACAATGTACAGTTAAACTTTGGTTTCTCGAACCCAAGTTAGCATCATAAGTCAAAGTAATGAGTGTTTGCTTTGTTATTAGGCTATAACCACCTTGGTGAAGAATTTTCCTAAGCTGATGTCTCAGTATATTGGTGATATTTTACCTCCAGTGTGGATGATATTTACACACAGTGCTGACTTGTATCCTTATGTTTAATAGTAAACAACCATATGTGTAATAGGAAACAACCTTATGTGTAATAGTAAACAACATTACATGTAATCGTAAGCAACCTTATAATGTGTAAGAGTAAACAACCTTATGTGTAATAGTAAACAACTTTACATGTAATCGTAAGCAACCTTGTAAGGTATAATAGTAAACAACCTTATGTGTAATAGTAAACAACTTTACATGTAATCGTAAGCAACCTTATGTGTAATAGTAAACAACAGAATGTGTAATAGTAAACAACCTTATGTGTAACAGTAAACAAACATTACATTATCATTGTTCTCTGATTCAATCAATGGGTGACTTTTTTGTCAAATTTTTGTCACCCGCTTGAAAAGTGGGGGATATTAATTTGGGTTTGTCTGTCCGTCCGTCTTTCTGTCTGTCTGTACTGCTTTCGTTTCCACACGATATCTCGAGAACCCTTTGAGCTTTTGCAATGAAATTTAGCATAGCAACTCCCTATGGTCTAATGAAGACCCCTATTGATTTTGAGGTCAAAAGGTCAAAGGTCAAGGTCATAAATAAGCAAATTCTGTCTGTTATAACACTTTCGTTTCCACACGATATCTCTAGAACCATTTGAGCTATCGCAATGAAATTTTACATAACAACTTCCTGTGGCCTAATGAAGACCCCTATTGATTTTGAGGTCAAAGTTCAAGGTCGTAAATTTATACATTCTGTCTGTGTGTAACACTATCATTTCAGGGCGATATTTCAAGAAGATTTTGAGCTTATGCAATGTAATTTTATACCAAAACTCCCTAGGACCTCTCTCACCCCTCTCAAAGTGCCCCGTCCTGTTTGTTTAATTAATATTTATAGTATTACATGTCGCTATTTTTAGCACAGGGGTACGAGGACAGCTATTGCGTATAAAACAGGTTCTCGGTGGACTTTATGTTCTTATTACATATATTAGAACTGTTTAATACAGGCTAAATAAATCAAACACCATGGATTGTGTAAAATTTTGAGAATACCGAACATGAATATATACATGTATGTAACTTCAGTTCTGCATATACTTGACCCTCTGTAAAAGCGATTCTGTGGTCTAGGGGTATGTCACTCGCTTCACATGTGAGGAGTCCCAGGATCTAATCTCGATCGATCCTTCTTTTTTTTTTTTTTGTAAATACTTTTCTTTTTTTTTTACTAAATGATAGTATTCAGCATGTGAAATGAAAAATTTATGAGGTTATAAAATCATCATTACAGTGTGATAAATATTCCATATAAAATGAATCTTCTATACACATAATAAAGAATAAGCAATCAAATCTTTATATGCATATTGACATACATGTATTTTATTTGCTTCAGTATACATGTATACTTTTAATAATTCTACAAATTCATCAGGGGGATCCGACTTTTTCCTTAAGCGGGGGACACGAATTCTCTGAATTAGCTTGTTTATTGTGAACTTGTACTTTCTATTTTCCAAGGTGATAATTATCATTGATAGTTTTAATTTAATGTCTTCTCTTTAACTGTGTAATTTCTGAATTATTATGATGTTTTCCTTCATTGTTATTCAGTTATGTAAGAACAGTTGTAAACAGCTTGGAAGAATCTGATGATCCTGTTGATTCTGATGGTGAGTAAAAATGTGATATAATTATTACTTTTCTCCTCCATGGCTTGGAATACATACATGTAGATGACATTAGTGCAGACTGTTGAATTAATATCGTTGATTGCTTTTACAGAAGATAATAAAGGTGAGGTCAGGTGTTCGATATATTGAGTTAAACATTAATTATTTGGACCTGCATGAAGTTTTGCATATTTATTTTGTCTATAAATTAATTAATTTCAATTTGATAAAGATGTTGTTTTTTTTTTTAGGAAGTGGAGATACAATTTTTTCTGTTTTGTCAAATTTACTTGACTAATTAAAAATCAGTTTATAGTCAAATCAAAATGCACTTACATGATGAATTGATGGTTGATACAATGAAGATAACATAGAAATGGACTTTTAACAGGTGAAGTCCTAGGGTTTGAGAGCCTGGTTTATGGAGTGTTTGAATTTGTCCACGTTCTGATCGACACACCAAAGTTCCGCAGCACCGTGAAGAGTTCCGTCAATGACATCCTGTATTACGTCATACTCTACATGCAGATGACAGATGATCAGGTCAGTGGAACTTGCTTTGTTTAAGATAAATGCAATACTCATCCTTGTAGCATTTTGCAGATAGCTGATACAGATGATTTAACCTATTGTATATTTACAAATGGTATAAATAGTGTAAAATTTTAATCTGCAATACTTATTTTTTTACAGATCAAATTCCACTTATAAATATATTTTCTACCTGTTTCATGTCAAGTTTGCTGGTTGATAAGTGATCTATTAATCAAGTTTTTCTTCATTTATAGAGAAACTTCGTATGATAAGCAATTGATCTTTATTAAAGAATAATTGTTGTGAAAGTAATTATTATGAATTTGAAGTTGTGAGTGAAGCGATTTTAAAAATTTCAAAAGGAATCAGTTTGTCTTTTCATCAGCAATCATACTCAGGTATTTCTGTTCATTAGGTGAGGTTATGGACTAACAGCCCAGACCAGTTTGTAGAAGATGAAGATGATGATTCTTTTTCGTATTCAGTCAGGATATCAGCTCAAGACATCTTGTTAGTAAGTAGCTAGCTCTTAGTGTACCGCTGGCACAGAATGCAAGGATTAAACTTCTCCACTTCTCGAGACAGAATTGGAGCTCTCGGTGTGCTGAAGATAAAGCTATAATACTGTTGTATAAAGACAGAAATATTTCCTAGAGTAAAAAATGTAATCTTAGTTTACTGATTGTGAATCTACTATGAATCTTTTGTAGTCAATATGCAGTGAGTTTCCAGAGGAGAGTGCACCTGCACTCTGTCAGGCTGTGACCAAACATTTAGCTGCTGTGGAACCTCTCAAGAATGCCAACGATCAGAACTGGTGGGTAATAACTTACACAGATTGTTATTTCTGATAATGTAGTCTTAATTAATGATAGGTTAACATTATTCAACAGTAATTTAATTCTTCTAATAACATGCTGTTTGATTTGATGAAAAAATTTATTGTGTATCGTTTATACTGTGTTGCCTACATCCCATTAATAAATCATTTATACTATGTTGCCTACAACCCATTAATAATGAGCATATACTGTCCCAACCCTGTATATACTGAATAAATTAGGTAGATTTTAAGTAATTCCTTAATAAAATGTTCAGTGTTTGGGACATTTTAGAATTTCTTTGTTATTATCTGTAGGTGGAAGGTCCATGAGTCGTGTATGCTAGCTATGGGAAGTGTGACTGACCTGGTCACTGAGTCCATACAGTCTGGGAAAGTCCAGTTTGACATCACCGGATTCCTCCAGTCCGTGGTCCTAGCTGACATGAATTACTGCAGTTAGTACAATATGATAAATATGTATGGTATTTTTATATAAGTTGAATAAGTATGGTATTACCTTTTAAGTTAAGTATGTATGATATTTTAAGACATTTAAGTTTGTTAAGGTAATATCTCTCCCTAATTTATTTTTAAAAAGTGAACAATTCTGGAGAGGGACGTTGAACAACATACGAACTTAACTTCTGCTTTAGAATGATTGCACTACCTCAAAATTCCAACCCTTACAAAAGAGCAGTTTCTTTTTCCCAGAAGACATTCGATTTGTTTAAAACAATAATTGATGTTGATGTTTATGGTTTTAGTTTCCCCATTCCTGGTTGGTAGAAGTTTGTGGACAGCTAGTCGATATACTGAGGTCACCTCTACATCTCCAGAGCTGCTCAACAGGTAAACCAGAGTTCTTAATGCATCAAAAATGTGTTGATTTTTAGCTCACCTCGACGAAGTCGAGATGAGCTTATGCTATACCCCCGGCGTCGGCGTTAGCGTCGGCGTCCCAGGTTAAAGTTTTAGGAGCAAGTCCATTCCCAAGTAACTATAAGCCCTACTTGAACCAAACTTGCATGGATGATGCATCTAGGGATGTACACTACCAGACTTGCTTCGGATGCTGGATCTGACCTACATTTTCTAGATGAGTGACCAGGTTAAAGTTTTTGGAGCAGGTTAAAGTTTTTGGAGCAGGTCCATTCCCAAGGAACTATAAGCCTACCTGAACCAAACTTGCATGGATGATGCATTCAGGGATGTACACTACCAGACTTGCTTCGGATGCTGGATCTGACGTACATTTTCTAGATGAGTGACCAGGTTAAAGTTTTTGGAGCAGGTTAAAGTTTTTGGAGCAGGTCCATTCCCAAGGAATTATAAGCCCTACCTGGACCAAACTTGCATGGATGATGCATCTAGGGATGTACACTACCAGACTTGCTTCGGATGCTGGATCTGACCTACATTTTCCAGAAGAGTGACCAGGTTAAAGTTTTTAGAGCAGGTCCACAGGAACTATAAGCCCTATTTGGACCAAACTTGCATGGATGATGCATCTAGGGATGGACACTACCAGACTTGCTTCGGATGCTGGATCTGACCTACATTTTCCAGATGAGTGACCAGGTTAAAGTTTTTAGAGCAGGTCCACAGGAACTATAAGCCCTATTTGGACCAAACTTGCATGGATGATGTATCTAGGGATGGACACTACCAGACTTGCTTCGGATGCTGGATCTGACCTATATTTTCATTCCCAAGTAACTATAAGCCCTATTTGGACCAAACTTGCATGGATGATGTATCTAGGGATGGACACTACCAGACTTGCTTCGGATGCTGGATCTGACCTACATTTTCATTCCCAAATAACTATAAGCCCTAGCTAAACCAAATTTGCATGGATGATGTACATGTATCTAGGGATGGACACTACCAGACTTGCTTCGGATGCTGGATCTGACCTACATTTTCATTCCCAAGTAACTATAAGCCCTAGCTAAACCAAACTTGCATGGATAATGCATCTTAGGATGGACATTATCAGACTTGCTTCGGATGCTGGATCTGACCTATATTTTCCATACAAGAGACCAGGTTAAAGTTTTGGGAACAGATCAATCCAAATGAACTTGAAGTCCTTGATATCTGCAGTATTAACAGTTATAAATATTTGTTTACACGATACATGTTTTTCACGCTACACGCATAGAAATGTGTATATGCCATGCATACATGCCAACTTTCCCGATTTAGGCGGGATTCTCCCGATTTTACCCTTTCATCCCGCCTTCCCGATCGGGAGAGAAAAATTGACCTAATTTCCCGATTTGTAAAAATTCACCCAAAATTTCCGATTTTATAAGTTTCCCTATACCGCTGAATTTTGTCAACTGGGATAACAATATCAGACTTGTTTATTCAATGCACACAGATAAGTTTCATTGTTTATTTAGGTGTTAACATGGTTAATTAGCCACAGGAAATCACTTCACGCTTGAACGCACGGAGTCGTCCAGGTGCAGGTAGCTTATAGCATGGGGCAATTAATTAGGGGATTATCTTTTCAGTTTTAAGGGGTACGCAAGGTGAAACACATAGATTAAGGGGATAATTGTTTGTCATTTTATTGAAAACAAATTAAAGACAACTAAATAATAACCAAACCATAAAATAGGAATCCAAGGAGATCGTTATTTGAAAACAAAAGTAGAAAACTACAAAGCATAGCTACTGACTTTATCTACCTATAATGAAAAAATATTGTAAAGTTTGCCAGTTAAAATAATATGAAAAAAATCCTGATGAAACAATAAAGTCTATGTCAATTAGAATTTCTTTTCCCTCCCTTCTCCCAAAAGTAATTATAATATTTTATGCATATGTGACTAAGAAATACCCATAGCACCATCAAGCCTGCCAAAGTTCAAGACTGTAAAAAAATAAATTTCTATGGGATAGATGGTATCTTTATGAGAAAATTGATGATTTAATTCTTCAAAACAGATGATTTATTTCTTTGAATAAAAAAAAAATGCATTGGAATTTCTCAAAATATCTTTAAATTTAATATATCTGATTAAAATTTCTAATTAATTAAAATATAAAAATCTCATAAATGTTCCCAGAAACAGTACTTTACAGTATCAAAAGTTGTACAATTTTCAATTTTTCACCAAATTATGTGTCCTAGCTGGTAAAAAAAAGTTTACATATGTAACTAATTATCCCTTCTTTAGTGAGAGAGGCACCTATCTGAGCAAAAATATTTCCATTTTGGAAAGAAAAACCTTATTTGTGTGTTATTTTTATCCTTTAGTAGTATTAATAAGTGATATTAATTATATTATAAATTTAAAAAAAGGATCATGTCATAATCATTTAATTTCACGACAAAATGTCGCGAATTTAAAGCTATGAAAAATGTCGTCACCCGCAAAATCCCCCATGGGAATTTTCAAAAGTTGGCATGTATGGCCATGTAAGGGGTTAAACACAACTTGCAAGAATATTGTTGTTGGGATGAATACTTAATATTAAGAAAATATGATGTGAGATTTGCATTACTTAAACTGATAACATTCGTAGAGGTGAGCTTCGTAATCTTTTATTACCTATGTTTATTTACAGAAAGCACACTGCAATCTTTATTCATTGAAATGAAATCAACATTAATTTGTACTTCTTTGCAACTCTACCTTTGCTTTTGGACATAGCCAAAAATTTAAAGAAATGCAATCTAGTTCTAAAATGAATTATTTTGTGATTTAATGACCTCATTAAAAATACTATTCAAAGATACCAATAAAAATCACCAAAATACTTCATTGCAGTTGATACTTGATTTGAATAGTAGTGGTCATAAGATGGTTTATGTACATACACCGTATACATACCCTCTCAAATTCAAAGCATAAAACACCATGCACAATGCTATGGCTTCTGTGGACTAAATCTCCACATAGCACATAAAATAAAATTGTAGACCTTTATTCACTCATTGATCCCAATTTTATTGCAGGTTCCTTCAGTCTACAGTGGGTGGCCTACATGCCACACAACCCTCCACCATCAGGATTTCAGCCATCAGGGCTGTGTACAGTTATTGTCAACACCTGAAGTCTGCTAACACCACTCAGTACCTCGTACCATTCCTACCCAACACTCTGGACGGCCTCCTGTCGATAGCCACTCAGTTCTCCTCAGATGTTTTATCCCTGTGTCTAGAAACCATGTCTATTCTATTATCAGTAAGTTAACTCATTCTGTTGGCAAGGTCACAAATACAGCATAGCTGGTTCTTCTTGTTGTTTGTGACAACTTTGTAAATTTTGATATGTGGTGTAAGTTTCCCGAAACTGTGTTTATCATGACCATAGGAAAGACTGAACATTTACAAACTTGAAATTATAATTTATGTAATGCCGTATATAAATACTGAAATTCACAACATAGACAATTCGGGTTATAAAATTGTAAAAACATTTTTTTATTCCATTATTTTTCCCCCCTAGGTTGACAAGGCGTTTACAGCTACTGTGGAAAGCAAAGTTACTCCCCTTACCATTGCAGTCTTTCTGAAATTCTCATCTGGTAGGTTACTCTCCAAGTTGTAACCAGTATTTCCAGATCCATTGAGATTGTTAATCAGATGCATTTACATATAATAAATCATGATTTTTGCTTCTCTTTCCAAGTGCAACTCTTTGAGTCGTGTGTTGTAGAGTACGTCGATGTCATGATTATTCATCTGATAATTAAACTCTTCCATGCTTTTGCACTGGCAAATCTTACCCAGTCATCTTTTATTTTGATCAAACAGATGGGATTTTTAAAACATATAATGAAAACTTGTTTTAGAAATGTAAGGATAAATCTCGCCATCAGTGAAATTGTATAAATTATTTTTCAGACCCAGTGGTTGTGAACATTGTCCAGGATATCTTTAAGGAGTTGGCTGGTAATGAGAGCACAGTAGGCCCCTTAGAACATCGACTCCTACCCACACTTGTCAGTATTCTACAGGCCCCAGAAAAAGTCCCTGTCAGCCTGCCACCAGTAAGTCCGATAAAAAAGGGGGAGAGAATTATAATACTAATTGTTTGAGCTTTTGGTTTTTGCTATAGAATTTAGATGGTGTCATGATGGGTTTGGGTTTTATTTTCTGTTTTCTGTTGATTTCTATCGTGAAAAAGTTGTACTGAAAATTACATTCTCCTTCTTTGTTTTTCCACACAAGTCATGGTTTTTTGGGAGTTCGTAAATTTGAATATCATTCAATTATGTTAACTTTTGAAAATTGACTTGTATGTAGGTGGCAGAACTACTGTCATTGTAGATCTGTTGGATTGTTAGTTCTATAAACATATGTATTGTAAAGAATACATCTATTGAAGCTTGATATTTTTACTGTGTTCTTTTCCAGCCTAATTAAGCTACATGTAATGCTGAGAAATGTTTACAGAACAGAATTATAGATACATATGTACATTGTATGCTGAAGGGTGGAGAGCATGTTTTCAAATTAAAAACTAAATACATTTGAAATTTCAGGTATCGTTAGAAATGATGGAAACCATGGTGAGAGCACACACTGGTCCACTCTCCGAGGCCATGATAAAGACAGGCTTCCCTGCCGTGGTTCACTGCACGTTACACACGGACGATAATGCAGCCATGCAGAACGGAGGAGAGTGTTTGAGAGCATTTCTCTCTGTAGCATTAGAACAGGTCATGGCTTGGCATGATGAACAAGGTAAACAACTTGTAAAAAGAACAAGCTAGATGTTGAATGCAAGTGAAACAAGTTTGTGCATTGAAGCAATAAAATTTATTTCAGGTAACAATGGGCTATACTACATCATGCAGGTGATATCAAAACTGCTGGACCCCAAAACCTCAGAGCACACTGCTTCCTTTGTGGGTAGACTGGTCTCCATTGTGATAACAAAAGTCGGGAACCAGCTAGGGGAAAACCTTGACCTGATGTTAAGACTAGTTCTCAGTAAGATGCAGCAAGCGGAAACACTAAGCGTGATGGAGGTGAGCCTATCGAGGCTAGCCAGATAAATGTTCATTTTAGATTTTACTATAAAGGTATTGATAAATGTTGGATGTTTAAAATTTCATTGCTGTTATATATGTTGTAGAGTTTGGTGATGGTGTTTGCCCAGTTGATGATCAGTAATATGTCAGCTGTTCTGGATTTCCTGACCAATGTCCCAGGTCCAACAGGAAAACCCGCCCTTGAGTTCGTCCTCACAGAGTGGTGTTCTCGGCAGCATCTCTTCTATGGCAATTATGAGAGAAAAGTCTGGTAAAGGAATAAACGAAATATCAAATTAAAGTTGGAGTATTTTTAAAAGGAAATTCTCTTTGTAATAGAACTATGTGAAGTTGAGAATTAAATATCGGGGAACTTTAAATGCATTGTCAAATTCTAAATTACAAAACAGTAAAAATAAAATCCTTTACATTTCAGCACTGTTGCACTCTGCAAGCTTTTGTTACATGCAATACAGACCAATGACACAAGGCTACAAGAAATTCTAATCCAGGGGGAGGAGATAGAACAGCCAACTAAAGGAATTAGAACCAGGTCAAAAACAGCCAATGGTAGGTGAAAATAAATGGGAAAAACCAAATATTGGCCAAAAGAAGACTTTCTTTTAAACAAAATATGAAGCTAAAAATAAAATTGCAAGTTGTTTAGAATTGTTCCCTGCACCATTAAAATGACCCCGTCTGGGAAAAGGATCAAAATTAAGATATCTTTTCATTTCTAACTGATTCCTGGTCTATTATCACAAGCACAACCAAAACAATATTAAATTAAATAAAGCAAGGTTCTTCAATGATGGAAGATACATGTACATTTTACAAAAAGTCAGAAAATTATAAGTTCAGTGTTTATTGAGCATTTATTAACAGTTTCAAATTTAACATCAATTAAAAAAAGTTATCCCTACTTCCTGGGTCTGAAACCCATTAGGCAACTATTACAAACAGTATAAAAGCTAGCCTATAGAGAGCTTTTTTCATGTACAATAAAACATGTTCATATCAAAGTTCCAGGGATGAACCAATCTGCTTTATTAAGTGTGATTCATTATATTTAGTTTGAAATATAGTCTCAATTTGCTATAAGAGTGTATTACTGTAATTCATCACACATTTACAGATAACTTTAATTTTGTTCCAGAACCTGTGCAGTGGACCACAATTCCAGTCCTGGTGAAAATCTACAAGCTGTTGATCAATGAGCTGTCCAATCAGATTGAGGCTAACATGTGTAAGAACGGGAAGGATGAGGAGGACGATGAAGATGAAGATGACTGGGAGGAAGATGATGGAGATGAAGAGGTCCAACTAAGGGGACAAACTCTGTCTGACCTCATTGACAGCATGGCAGCCGAGTTCAACGGTTAGAGAGCAACTCTTGCTTTACTCAAACAGTTTTTGCCATAATGCTGTTTTCTTAATTATTTTGACATAAACATATTTTGTAATAATTTGGGAATGATGTCATAAACATAGGCCTGTTTATTCTTACGAAGTTTTAATAAATATTTAAGGTTATGATGTAGATGAAGAGGAAGAAGAAGATCCGGATTTCTCAAAAGATCCAACTTATCAGATAGATTTACAGGTGAGTGTGTGAAGAATAGTGTGTTAAGTTCAGTATAGCTGTAGTCTTAATATTGGTAAAGGGTATTCAATTCAAAAACAAAAATAACATTAACTAGAAACGATCTCGTTGCGAGCAACGAGGAGGTCTTCCGTCTAATTCAAATAAAAAAATCGAAAATTCGAGGTAAAAAGTGAAGAAAAAAATTGGACACACGGGGGATCGAACCCGGGTCGCCAGCGTGAAAATCCAATGCGCTAACCATTCAGCCATTGGGATTGCTGCTTCAAATTTTTAAATGCAAATATCTCGAGATTGGCTTTTTCAATTTAAAACCAAATTACATATTTGGCAATCGCAAAAGAATCTCTATTAAAATCGAAGAAAAAAATTTTAAAACACAAAAATTTAAAAATTACGTTTTTAAGATTCGCTTCCGGTAGCGACCGGAAGTACTAACGACGCACAAAAAGGTGATTCTGCAGAGCCATAAGTCGTGAACTATCATCTCCATTAAGTCTCCAGTTCATAGCTTAAGCAGTTTTTGCTATTTCGTGGTGACAAAATTGCATTTTAAGATCAGGAAATTGTCCATATCTCACGACCGGAAGTGATGACTTCAACAAAAAAAATTTTCAATAAGGTTCAGATCAGTACCTATTAGATGTGAAAGTTTCATGAGAATCGGCCCAGTAGTTTACGAGAAATCTCGTGCACGAAATCGGTAAGAATAATAATAATAATCATAATAATAGGGAAAAAGAAACCGAACGAAAACAATAAGGTCTTCCGTTGGTGACGGAAGACCTTAACTATAGACCTACAACCCCCACCCCACCCAACCCCCCACCAAAAAAATGAAATGGCACAATTATTCTTGTAAATGACATCCAGTATCCTTTAAAGTTACATGTGTGTGGTAAAATCACTATTTGTTATTTTTCAGGCCTACCTTACAGAATTTCTCCAGTCACTTTCCCAGCAGTCCTGTTTCAGTACATTCAGTGCACATCACAACGAATCAGAGAAACACGTTCTACGGACAATTAACATAAATGTCTGACACAGATCCTCTCCTACCTGTTGAACTCTTTAAATTTTAATCTTTTAATTTATCAATACCAATTATGATTAAATATTCAATTTTTTTTATTTACACAATGAAAGTGTGAAATTTGAAACCATTGCATGTGTGAGTGAAAGTGTGGCTGTTTTATTTAAGCTTTAACAAGTTTGGTTTTACGAGAGTTCTGATGGGAAATATTTTAAGTTGATGAGGAAAAAATTATACCAATGATTTAGCACAAAATACAAAAACTAATTCCTATTTTAATAAAAAAGGTTAGTGAATTTATTAAGGAGTTTAGTCAAATGTGATTTTAAACAAAAAAAAGTATTCAATCTTTTAAATGAATGTTCAGTGATCTATTAGTATGTTAACATCAGTTATGGCATGGTTTTAACCAAGAACAATACTTTTGTTGACAGAGATGTCTACAAATGAAGTGATGTGCAATAATCTTTTATAAATAAATCTGTTTAAGTTGTTTGAAAATGCTTTCTTTTAGTTGATATAATTTAAAGAAAAAAATGGTTTTAATTATGAGGGGGAAAATATCTTGATTGATCAGAAGTATTTAAAAAAAAAAGTAACATTTGAGGTATAAATTTTTAGCTTTTCTGAGCCAAAGGCTAAAAGAGCTAATGCTATGGCCATTTGTGTGGTGTGCGTTAACTTTTTAGAATATGGGCCATAACTCAAGAACCACTTGGCCAATCATTGTCAAATTTGTCACAGGGTATCCTTAGCCCAAGGGCTACCATTTATACTAAAACTAGGCTTAGGACCCTTAAACAAATGGAGATAATTAGGAAAATAAAACCAAAAGTACTGGTTGCTAAAAAATCTTCTCCAGAACCACCAGGCAGATTTTCACCAAACTTACATACATGGGTGAGGATATGTTAAAGATAAAAAATTATTCAAGGCATCACCCTGGGGTAAAGGGCGTGGTCTCAAGGTCACTTCAAAGTTGACCAAAATTTACACTTAATAAAAACATTTATATTTTGCTTACTATAAAGACTAGGGTCATCAAATTTTTTAAGTTGATGCATCTTAGGAGTTCACATCATGTTAACACAAAAGTAGGTCACGGTGACCTACTTTTTAAATTTTAGGGCTTTTGTTTTCAAATTGATTTGGAGCCATATTTTTAACACTTTAAGGCCTATGATCATCAAACTTTGTCAGTTGATGCATCTTGGGTCCTCGAACAACGTCAATTTAAATGTAGCTCACTTTGACCTACTTTTTGAATTTTATGGCTAATCTTTTCTTAAACATTTAATCCCATTAATTCAGACAATGAGAGGTTTAGAATCACCAAATCTTGTAAGTTGATGCATCTTGGGACCTTTAAACATATTTTTGAAAAAGGTCACTGTGACCTACTTTCTGAATTTTGTGGGCATTTGTTTTCAAATCGTTTAAAAGGCATATTTTGAATACTTTCAGACCTATGATCATCAAACTTTGTCAGTTGATGCATTTTCAGTCTTCGGAAAATTTCAGCAAAAAGTAGGTCATGGTGACCTACTTTGACATTTTTTGGCTATATTTGAAAATCTTAGATACTTATTGGCTTAGAATCATCAAACTTTTTCAGTTGATGCATCTTGGGTCTTCAAAAAATATCAACCAAAAAGTAAGTCATCGTGACCTACTTTTGACATTTTATGACTATATTTAAGTATCTTAGGCACTTTTTGGCCTAGAATCATCAAACTTTGTCAGTTGATGCATTTTGGGTTTTCGGAGAATGTTGACTAAAAAGTAGGTCACAGTGGCCTAGTTTTGAATTTTTATGGTTATATTTAAGTATCCCAGGTACTTACTGGCCTAGAATTGTTAAAACTTTGTCAGTTGAGGCATCTTGGGTTTTCGAAGACTGTAGACCAAAAAGTAAGTCACGATTATCTCAGGTACTTATTGGCTTAGACTCGTCCAACTTTGTCAGTTGATGCAGGGATTAATCTCGGTTTTGGGGGAAACTAATTCTTCTGGAGAAATTGGGAAAATCAGGAGGGGTCTGGAAACCACTTGAGTGCAGAGCAAGCCCTGCTTGGGGGCCAATTTAATTTCAATATTTTTATGACCATTTAATGCACATAAAGTAGCAAAGTAAAACAATATTTCTCATGTACTGAAAAATTTTTGCTTTATATTTTCAGTTTTTATGAAGGAAAAAAAATATTTGAGGTTTTTATTATTGTAAATGTAAGGAAAATATTTTACTCATCAAAAGTGGAAAATTAGATCTTCAGGGGAAATTTTCTATTAGGGGAAAAACACCGAGTATCGGTAGTAAATATGCCCTAGATTAATCCCTGGTTGATGCATCTTGAGTCCTCAGAAAATTTCAACCAAAATGTACTTGTAGGTCATCGTGACCTACTTTTGACATTTTATGCTATATTTAAGTATCTTGGGTACTTTTATTGGCCTAGATTCATCAAACTTTGTCAGTTGATGCAATCTTGGGTTTTCGGAGAGTGTCGACTATAAAGTAGGTCACTGTGACCTAGTTTTGAATTTTTATGGCTATATTTAAGTATCCGACGTACTTATTGGTCTAGAATTGTTAAACTTTGTCAATTGAGGCATCTTGGATTTTTGGAGAATGTCGACCAAAAAGTAGGTCACAATAACCTACTTTTAATTATTTCAGGTACTTATTGGCTTAGAATCATCAAACTTTGTCAATTGATGCATCTTGAGTCCTCCGAAAATTTCAAATAAAAAATTAGGTCATCGTGACCTACTTGTGGTATTTTATAGCTATACTGACACGCAAAAGAAACGCAACAAGCAGTAATCTACAAATGTTTAAATTTTTTATCTTATGATTTCAAAAGCGAATAAAGTAAGTCTAAACTCACTTTTCAGAACATCAGAGATTTGATAAAAATGTTAAATGTTTATCTGTTTACTTTACTAAGTAAAATATGACTGTTAAAACACCCCCCTCCCAGCCATTCAAGTAAAACGTGCAAGACTGCCCTAAACAACAATTGCAGCTTAATTTCTACGATACAGTAGGTTCATTAATATCGAGATCTGAGCGAAGGAAATATTCTTTGGCATTTTTAAATGCCCGTTTTTCAGATGATTAGGTCGAATTTTCTCTAACTTAGAGCAGTGTAGCCACCCTTGGACTTCCGGTACAAGGACTGTCCTTAATGCATATGATACGTAAGACTCTATTGAGGCGTGATTTAGTGAATTTTTGCATCAGCAACTCTCCATCACATTTACATTGAAATTTTCCAGCTAGAGCAATGGAAATGCGTACATAAGCCAATTTTAAGTAGCCTTAGCATCGTTACGGGAAACGAAAGGAGAGTTTATTTTTTGAAATATTGCTACATTACTTATGATGAACAGTATAAAACCCTTAAAACTCCATAATATTGCCAAATGTTTTGTTAAACATGCAATTTTTGATTTCTGTAAAGCAGACTCAAACTTGACTTCCGGTTACGGTATGGAAATCGTTCAACCGTTAAATTACCGATGTTTACCAAATTGAAGATATTCATAATTTTAAGATACAAAAGTCTTTTCTTTACATAATTACTTCCCCCTAAAGTAGGGTGTTGCGTTTCTTTTGCGTGTCAGTATATATTGAAACATCTTTAGTCCTAACTGGCTAAGAATCATCAAACTTTGTCAATTCCTGCATCTTGGGATACTTAGAGTTAGAGGCTTCAAATAGAAGAGGTAGATTGTACAATTTATTAGAAGAGCGATTCAAGGCCCTTGGGCCTCTTGTTATTAAATAGCTCCCCAATTCTACCAGTCAAGGTTTCAGATGCTACAATTTCTGCAAATGAATGACCAGGCTAAAGTTCTTAGACCAGGCCCCTGGATCATGAAACATCTTAAGTCTCAATTTTGATTCATAAATATGTTGTAATTTGCAAATTTTAG